GGTGGAAGCCGTAGTGTTTGGCGCCGGTTTGGAGGAGGAGGCGCTTTGGGGTGAGGTGGGGGGTTTGGCGGAGGGCGAGGAGGAAGTTGGAGAGGAGGGTTGCTTTGGTTTGTCAGTATAGGTTGTTGTTGTTGGGGGAAGGGGCTTACTGTTGATGTCTTTGATTTCGGTGGCGTTGGAGTAGAGGGAGAGGACTTGCGAGGGGTTCTGCGGGGGCAGGACGAACGAGAAGAAGAATATATGGTCTCTGCTGGAGGTGAGATATCTATCTGTCTATCTGTAGAGGACAAACGCGTACACATGTTTGACTCTCTGCCGCAAGATCGACGCCAGCTGAACGGGGTCTTGCAGGAAGTCCATCTCGAGATGCTCGATGCGTCCATCGCTGTTCTTCTCGTCCTGGCACTCGGGTGGAGGACTCCGCGAGACACAGTAGATCTTCGTCCATCGTTCGGGGGCATCTCGGAGGACTTTGATCAAGTTGGTGCCGGAGATCCCGTTGGCGCCGGTGACCATGGCAGTCAAGCCTTTGATGTTATCGGCATATGTCGGCAGACCGTGGAAGATGCCCCGCGAGTGGACTATTTGGGATTGTGACATGGTTTGATATTTGATATGACTTGATGAGAGGTGAGTGTTGGTATGGATAAGCTGTGTGACGCTGGATTTATATAGCTGGGTATTTCCTACTCTGATGAAGCTATACTATCGCCATGTACTGCATTGGGGTAGCGGATTCAGAGCCCCGCAACGGACTTCTGAGCGAGACGGAGAAACAATGATCGAGCTGCTAAGGAGGATGATCGATGCGTAGCATTGTGATTCCGGTAGGTGATAATCCGTAGCGGAGAGTAAGTGTCCGAGTATAAGTTCAGCAATCCGGTGTGCATAGAATACATGAAGTATAGATCCATCCTCACCTGAAACCCCGTATGTCCTCTTGAATGCTTGAATATGGAGGTTACTTGGAAGTTTTAACGAGGCCAGCCCTGGAAGGCGTGTTGATGTGATCTATAGACATGTAAACACTAGATTCCTAATGAACACATCTAAATGCCAATCGTAATACTCTTCACATCCAAATATTCCTCCAACGCCGCAATCCCCCCTTCTCTCCCCAAGCCACTCTCATACACTCCTCCAAAAGGCCCCTCCGCCGCACTCACCATCCCAACCCTAACTCCCACCATCCCCACCTTCAACGCCTCACTCACCCGGAACGCCCGCGAGAGATCCTCCGTATAGAAATACGACGCCAACCCCACCTCCGCATCCCCAACGCGCGCATTATTCGCCTCCCGAACAACCTCCTCCTCGGAGTCAAACGGCACCAGGAACGCCAGCGGCCCGAACGTCTCCTCCGTCATGAAGGCCATGTCCCGCTTTCCACCCTTGACCACCGTGGCCGGGAAGAAGTTCGGCCCCAGGCTCGAGTCCTTCCCACCGTAGTGTACTGTAGCGCCTTTCTCTAGTGCATCTCCCAGGTGGCTTTCCACCTTGGCAATGGCCTTGCCACTGTACAGGGGACCGAAGTTGACGTTGCGGTCCCAGACGGAGCCGTAGACGAAAGTCTTTTTCAGGCCCTGGGCCAGCGCGTCGGCGAACTTGTCGATGATCGATGAGTGGACGTAGATGCGGTTGGCGCAGACGCAGGTCTGGCCGGAGGAGCGGAATTTCGACGTAATGAGTCCTGGATAATCAGTTAGTGTAGTTCCATCTCTACCTATACAAGGTAGACATATACATAAAATAAGAAAGAGAGAGAGAGAGAGAGAGAGAGAGAGAGAAACTCACCAGCAACCGCCTTCTCCAAATCCGCATCCTCAAACACAATAAAACTCGCATTCCCCCCCAACTCCAAACTCGTCTTCTTAATTGTCCGCGCACACTCCGTATTCAACACCCTCCCCACCGCCGTCGACCCCGTAAACGACAAATGCTTCACCATCATGTTCTTACACATCTCCCCGCCAACCAACGGGGTATTCTCCCACCCCGAGGTGACCACATTAAACACCCCCTTCGGGCCCCCCGCCCTCTCCCACAACTTCGCCAACGCAATCGCACACAGCGGCGTCTCCGGCGCCGGCTTACACACCACCGTATTCCCCGCCGCAATCGCCGCGCCCACCTTCCGCGTCACCATCGCCACGGGCGAGTTCCACGGGGTGATGGCTGCGACTACACCCTGCGGTTGCCGGATGGTGAGGACGCGGTTGTTGCCGCGGGCGGCCGGGATGGTTTCGCCCAGGGTGCGCTCGATGGCGCCCTCGAACCAGTCAACGAAGTCAATGGCGTATTGCACGGTGCCGAGGGAGTCGGTGAAGGGTTTGCCGAGCTCGAGGGTGCACAGGGCTGCGAGGTCGTCGCGGTGCGCTTTGATTTGGTCGCCCCAGCGGCGCATGAGGAAGCGGCGCTCGCGATGGGGCGTGTGTTGGTAGGTTTGGAAGGCGGCGTGGGCGGCGGCGATGGCTTGTTGCGTGTCGGTTGTGGAGAGGTCGGCGATTTGGCAGATTTCGGTGTTGTCGGTGGGGTCTGGGGGAGTTGGTTAAATGGAGAGGAACAGATGATAGGAGGGGTGGGGGTGTATACATACCCGACAGAGTGAAGGTTTTGCCTGATGCGGCTCCTGTCCAGACTCCGTTGATGAATGACCGCGTGTCAATCAGCGAGGGGTCGTTGAATTGGTAGGGAATCGCTTTCTTAAGCGGAGACGTCATTGTAGCTTCGATCGTCATGGTTCGTGTGTGTTCTCGAAAAAATTTTGCACGGTGGTAGTGGTAGAAATGAAGTCGTTTCTGGGATAGGGTGGGAGCAGCCACGCCTTCAGCGCCCAGGATCGCTTTAAGTACAGAACGCATCGCTCGTTGGTCTACTCCTCCATAGCTTCTTGCATCGGAACTTATGAATGTAGCGGGGATTTGCGGGGTCGGACATCAAGTAGCCGAATGGAACGGAGGGTCATCTTCCTTTCTATCCTCCGCGGATAGCGGATGATCACCGTCCGTCGGGGATGAATTAGGGCTTGCATCATAGCTCCGGGGAATTGGCTGCGGGGTCAGACGGAATACAAGAGGTGAAATGGAGAACAACCCTTCCTTGACATTCACCACAATCGCATTCTCATCGTTTAGTGTTATCTGCCGTCGCCATGTCTCAGTCCGCAACCATGAAGGCGTTGGTCTTCCGAGGCCCATACGACGTGCGGTTAGAGGAAAAACCAGGTTTGTTTCTGCTAGGTCTCTGTCTGCAACGGGCGACTGACCGCAAGGGGATACTCCCGTTTAGTTCCTCAAGTGATTGACCCTACAGACGTGGTGGTAAAGACCACATCTGCAGCCCTTTGCGGGAGGTAGTCATCCCCTTCAGTTACTGCCCAAAAACACCTCTGACATCTTTCTGCAGTGAGCTCCACCGGTACCGCGGACACTCAAAGATCAACATGGAACCAGGCTACATCTGCGGACACGAGGGCATGGGCATCGTCTGCGAGGTGGGAAGTGCGGTGCAAAAGTTCAAAAAGGGCGACCAGGTAGTAGCGCCGTTTACCATCAGCTGGTGTGTGAATGCCAGAGTCCCCCCCTGGTCCATACTGCAGTCCTAACCAACCCCATGTTCTAGTGGCGATTGCTTCCACTGCAAACGAGGAATCACCGGCCGCTGCGTCAAGGGAAAATCATTCGGTTCAGTGGCTCTTGACGGCTCACAAGCCGAGTACTTCCGAGTCCCACTGGCCGACACGACATTATTCCCCATTCCCACCGAAGGCGACCTGGGAGAATTGCCCATCTTAATGACGGACATCTTCCCCACGGGGTAAGTCCATGGGAGTCGTGGCAACCCACAATAGAAGGAGATTCATAAACCCTGACCATCGCATGACGCAGATTCAACGGCGCACGGAATGCCTTCCGCGACACTGCCCCGGAACTCTGGAAGGAGATGACAATCGTGGTCATTGGCTGTGGGCCCGTGGCTCTGTGCTCGATCATCTGCGCTCTCGAATATAAACCCGCACGCATTTTCGTCATCGACTCCATCTCCAGCCGATTATCGCGCGCGCGATCTCTGGGCTGCATCCCGATCAACTTCAAGGAGGTCGACCCCGTGAAGGAGATTATGAACGCGACCCAGGGTCATGGAGCGCATGCGGTCATTGAACTCGTGGGTTTGAGCCCGGCGTTGAAAACGGCATGGCAGGTGATCTGCCCTGGGGGCAAGATTAGTTCTGTTGGTGAGTGGAACTCTTTCCAGCTGGGGCTGGATTCATCCAAGACACAAGACAATCACTTTGGGAGAGGTACTGACTGGTCTGGATGAAATAAACAGGTGTACACAATGCTGAGGTGCCGTTTACCGCGGCCGACTGTTACAATAAAAATGTGCATATTCAGTTTGGGCGATGTCCCGTGCGACATGTCTTCCACGATGCCCTGCAGGCGTTGATCCGGAATAAGGCGACGATCGAGAGCATGGGGTTTATTGATATGGTATTGCCAAATCTGGATGGGTCTTTTGCAGATGCTTTGAGCAGGTTTGAGCGTGGTGAGTTGAACAAGGTGGTTTTCAAGCCGAATGGAGGGAATGTGCAGGTATAGATGGAGCTTGACGAATGAGTGAATTATCTTTCCCACAATAAATATTAGACACTGTTCTTTATTCTCCGGAACGAATATATCTCTCTTTCTCTTTCTCTAAACTGACGGTCACTGGATACATGCTTCTTTTTGTTAAACCATGCGTATCGCTGCTGTTTGAATCTGAGTGATATCAAGAAGCTATTGTTCTGGGCGGAGAAAGAGTCGGAGGTGCTGCTTGAGAGCAGACCATCCTGACTACGTTCGGGTGGCATTGACGGTGGAATGAGTGAGAACCGAGATGGAGGATGACTGAAAGTTGGTTCTGGGTTAATGTTACTGAGAGGGGAGGAGTCGGGGGTTTTTGGTTGGAGGTGGTGCGCCGTATAGTTCGCCCAGGTGTATAAAAATACAAAAAGAAATTGATAAGGCTGGGATTCGAACCCAGGTCCCTCTCGAGACACGGAAATCCACTAATGGATAGGATCAGGTAGACCTGAACCGTGCGCCTTAGACCACTCGGCCACCTTACCACCTTGATGTATTCAGAGACAAAGTCTAAATACAGAAGGCAGTTATGGAAGGATCCTATTTCCCCACATTGAGTTTCCGTCATCATCGGCCGTCAACAACATCCAACCCTCATATCTTCTCTTGTTCTCCGCATAGATTCCGACTTTCCTAGACTCTCTCACTCCTCGCAAACAACCCAGAACAATAATCCCAACATGTTGATCAAGTGAGTCTTTTGTCTACCCCTTTCGTCCTATCTACTGCACGACATGACGCACCCTCCCCTCCCACCTCCCATAATTTCAACCATGACTGACGTGAACCTCTTCTTTATCGCCCAGAGTCCGCACCCTGACCGGCAAGGAGATCGAGCTCGATATCGAACCAGACTACAAGGTACCTCGATTCTAAGTTTCCCTCCTGTCTTTCACCACCACCCCCGCTGTGAGAATGCTACTGCTGTGCAGGTAGCTAGCTGCCTTGGCCCGACGTGAACGCACCGTACCATCCCCATAACATACCATACATGCGCAGCGCACACACCTGAACACACCCACCCCACCCTCGAAGCCTTCACCAGACCCCTCGCTAAAAACAACCCCAGGTATCCCGCATCAAAGAGCGCGTCGAAGAGAAGGAGGGAATCCCCCCCGTCCAGCAGCGATTGATTTTCGGCGGAAAGCAAATGTACGTAACGCGTCGACTGTGGCATTGGTCGGCCCCGTCGTACATAATTTCTCCGAAGGCTGACCCTGTTTTTTTGCTTGTTTCTTGTCCACAGGGCCGACGATAAGACCGCCTCGGAATATAACCTTGAAGGAGGCGCGACGCTACATCTTGTCCTTGCGCTTCGTGGGGGGCTTTAAATCGATTGATCGTTTCCTCTCTTTGACCGAACCGAATGGATGTCGTTTGGGGTGGGGTATACGATGAAAGCGGATAGATTATCTTGAAGGGGGGGGGGTGGGGGGTGTGGG